CCAAAGCCCCTGAGAAAACTACACCATGCCTTGAAAGTATTCCAATATATGGCAGAAGAGAATGTTTACTGACAATGGAGAGAAAGAATAAGAAAGCAGAAATGACTAAAACAGGACGAAAAAAGTCTCTAAGGTGGAGATGGAAAAACAATATAGAAAGAAGAGAGGTCGGTGGTGGCAAAGACTGACCTTCACCGTTTTGACTACATTGCTCTCCTGCTTCATTTTAAACATACCAACATCGTATCTCAATAAGCAACAAAAATAAAAGTTATCATTGCTATCTTTCAAATAACCAGTAGAAGAAGAGCTAGAATCACTTCAGGATGGCTACATTTCTACCTGTTAAGAACATACCCTCTCACTGAAGTTTCTAAAGTCAGTGTCGGCGAAGTTAATGACAGTAGCCACAACTGCAGATCTCTTCCCAATACAACGTCATGCAGTTGAATTCTGAGAACTCACTTTCTGATTGACTTTTCTCCAACACCCCACCTCATTCAACAGCCCTGAAGTACTGCATACTATGAAAATTTTCAAAAGGAAACCTCATCATAGTAGAATCCAGATCCCAGAAGGGAAAACTCTCACACCCTACCACTTGTCATCAACTGCAGACCCAACAGGAAGAGATAGACCTTACAAGTTCATACCACTTTACTGCTCCCACAGGAGGAAGAAAGGTGGTCTCCTTCCCCAGTAACAGCCCAGCCAATAACAGACTGTCACAACTGAGCCAATGAAAAGCCACTGTACTGGAAACTCCCAGTTTACTCCAATGGGCTTTTTGTTTATAATAGCCCTGCTCAATTTCCCCCCCACCACAACAAAAAAGAGAATTTCTCTCCTTGGTTTTTTGTTTTGCTTATGGTTTTGCGTTAACTTGCTCATCCTGAATTGCAATTTTCTACTATTCCCAAATAAACCCATTTTTGTGGTAAAATAATTAGCAGCTTAATTTTGAAGGTTAACAGTACATAAAACAATTCAGAGTTTTGTGGAAACAACCTTTAAATTTAAGGAAGTAAAGAGAAGATTAAAATTCACTGACAAGCAGCAATTTGTTGACAAGGCGATGAGTTGGTGTCTCTCTTATAACTCACAGAACTCAAGAGTGTATGTTTTGGGAGTATGCATCCTATGAATTAAACTCCCTACTTGTCATGTTATCACAGTAAAATTAGAGGCAAATTCCTTTGAATTTGAGTGTTTCAGGCATTTGTCTGAAGTAACTCACTAATGAGTAGGATTTTAAAAATGTGTATAGTTGTCTCCAACCAAGAACAATCTTCTCACTCTTGGGCATTGGAAGGTGGCTCTAAATAGCAGGTTCATTTATTTCTATGCACCTGTGATTTTGTTCCTAAGTGGTGTGAATAGCCATTGAGTATCTGGTTCAAAATCAGGACTTCTCTTTTCCAAATTACTCAGCTCCCATTACATTTATAGGTGAGTCAAGAAGGCATTCTCTGATGTTTATGATACTGCTTTCTATACAATGTTTGAAGAGAAATGAGAGGTAATTATTTAGCTAGTGGGGTGGTAGAGAAGAAAGTGGACCTTCTCATTGTTTTAAATTAAAACAAAGGATATATCTAAAATGCCTTGTGAGGCAATCCTAGCTAGATATATTTTTTTTAAGATTTATTTATTTACTTGAGAGAAAGAGCGGGGGGTGGGGGCGGGGGGAACAGAGAGAGAGAGTATCCAAGCAGACACCTGCTGAGTGCAGAGCCTGATGTGGGTCTCCCTTGATCCCGTGACCATGAGATCAGGACCTGAGCTGAAATGAAGTGTTGGGCACTTAACTAACTGAGCCACCCAGGCACCCCTAGATACTTCTCTTTCTTTCTTTCTTTCTTTTTTTTTTCTTTTAGATATTTCTTTTCTATGTTACTACATCAGTCATATTTTCCTGGCTGCTGATAAGTGAATCATAATGCGTAGCATCTCACATATCATATTTTGGTAAGCAATGTAGACAAACACATTTCTTATCACCTTCTTAAACACATACAAACACCTGTTGACTTCAACTGTTCACAGTTCCTATATTAACTAAATAGTCTACCTGATGTGACCATCAATTCTAGGTCTACATTAAGATTAAATGAGGCAGGCGCCTGGGTAGCTCAGTTGGTTGAGCGACTACCTTCAACTCAGGTCACAATCCTGGAGTCCCGGGATCGAGTCCCACATTGGGCTCCCTGCTGGGCAGGGGGATCGGCTTGTCCCGGTGACCTTCCCCCTCTCATGCTTGCTCTCTCTCATTCTCTCTCTCAACAACAACAAAAGATTAAGTGAGGCAAGAATCTAACCTGTTAATGATTGACAGAGAGATTTTGGTCTTTCAATTTCCCTCTGGAAAACTTGGATGAAAATGAGGCAAACGGAAAGAAAAGGGTCTCTCCCCATGACTCAACCACCCTGTGCAATGTATTCATTTCTCACTGTTCATTTTTTACTGTGATACATATCCAGGCAAAATGGCTTTGTATTATCCCCAGGTTATTAGAAGAGTCTCATTGCTTGGAGTTAATGCCTTGGATCTAAGTAGTGTGTATATACAATATAATTTTTTTTCAACCAAGGAGGAAGTTGAGTTTCTCTGTGAAGAGCATCTTCTTTTGTTGGCTGGTTGGCTGGATGGTTGTTTTTGCTTTTGTTTTTATTTTTTAATTTAAGGATCCGGAGATGCTCCTGGGGACACATGCTGTCCCTTCCAATCTCGCAGGTGATGGTTCCGAGTGCTCTGCTGGCACAATGCACCCCAGGGCTCCATGCTGGGCAGCACAAGGCGGGGCTGGGCAGGACTAGTGCTAGATGAAGAGCATCTCTGCGGAGTCAACTCCCTGCTTTAGAGCACCTCCCATAGTTTCCGCCCATTAACCCAAGCACAACAGCTTGATGAATTAATGCTTATATAGGCACAGTTGGCAGCTTCTAATTAAATAATTATGGTTAAATGTCTGCACAGAAGCTGTTATGCACCCTAGAAAGCCAGCTGTCAGTTTTATTGGTCCTAAGACAGAGGAAGAGTTAATACTTAGCTCTGAATGTTAGATACAAAGAGAAGTATGTCACATAGAATATACACGCTGTGCAATATGAAGTTGCATTGTGTTTGTGCTAGCCTGTCCATGAGTGATGGAGAGCAAAGGGTTCCTCAGCAACCTCTCAGCAACCCAACAAAGAAGGAAGCAATTATATGATCAGGAGAGCAGAACCTGTTCAGAGCAATATAAAGAGGACAGAGCGTTAGACGGATGAGTCTTTGATGAACACACAAATGTCACTGAGCTAGCAGGCAAATACATTTCAGGTTCGGGGTCTCATTTAGATGAGCAAGTGACAGGAATCTAATGTGGTCCTTTTGGGGGGCAGGGGTTATGGTTGGTATGTTTTGATTTACTTGCCCAAAGCTTCTTAAGCTATTTTCAAATATTAAAAATTGGAGAACAAGGTAAAGATCACAAACCTAGATCTGAACTCTTTCTAAGATGCAGTTTTCCAAAAAGTTAGGAACAGATATTTGTTCTGTAGAATTACAGATAATGTCAGATTCCTTCACAGAAGTCTCAAAAGCTGAAGCCTTATCTCCACACCCAAGAAAGCCAGCAGAATCCGGTGACTAAGCTCCAGCATCAAGGAAGATGCAGATTATAGATAAAGGCCATTGATAGGGTTGTTGGATCAAATAATGCTTGTTATTACACAACAAGACGTTCCTGAACTGATAGTTGACTTCATTTTTCTCCACAGGCTGTCCTTTCCACACAATCTATGTGTCCCCACTTCTAAAAATCTAAGGGGTGATAACCCAGCACAGAACAACCCAGCTTGCCACCGGGCTCTTTAACACGGATCCCAGCACCATCTCCACATGAAGAAACACAACTGTCGGTGAAAATCAGTCCCTAAAAAAATCTTAGACATTTTAATCCCCCAAATTTATGGATTTGCCTTAAAAGAAGAAGAGAGGAAATATTGAATGCTAACATGGAAACATTTCTGATGCAATTCACTTTACCCAATTCCCGGGCCCTATTGAAAATCCACTGTTAAACCAAGCATGAAACTTTACAGACTGATTTACTGTTCTCCCTTCATAGATCAATGCCTTATAGTTTATTTTGAGTGACGCCATTTCATAAAACAAACCAATCTGTAGCATAAGTCGTCATTTAAGCCAATGGACTGACCTCTAAGGAACGCTTACTTAAAACGCTCCAGAACAATTGTTTCCACTCCTTTTTTCCCCTCTGGTTTCCTTTTATGTCAGTAATTCTATCACCTCAGGTGTCTGAAGATCTCTGCTTGTGATTGACAGTTCTGAAAGATCTAGTTCCTTTTGGATGGGTCTTAGATGAAGTTCAGTTTAATTAAGTCTGCGGTGCAACTCAAGTCTCAATACAAAATGCTAAAGAACCAAACAGCAGATTTGTAAAGCCTTTAAAAGCAAATTTCAGATGCAGTGGGGCAGCCCGGGGGTCTTTTGTCAGCCTATACTGCCATCTATCTAGCCGAGACCATGTCATTCTGTGCAAGCCATTTGTGTTCTCACCGCCCCTGATGAAAGCAAGTCTCCAGCAAACAGCTTTACAGATCCCGAAGTTCACAGTAAAGAATGGACAGCACCGCCTCATCCACTCTGAGTCTGCCAGCCTCCCATGGACCAGCAGGCAAATTCCAACCATCATCTCCTCACAGTTCGCTATCTGGCAAACAGACATGCATGCCTGCCTCCAATCCCCATATTACCTAAACCAATATCAATTGCATAGGCCTTTGAATATTCTCTGATGTCACTGATAAAACAGATAAAAGTTACCTTAGATAAGATGTGAGACCTGAATTAGAACCTCTAATACTCTAGCTATTAAACTCCTATACTCAGGAGTTTAAAAAAAAAATCCCAAATAGTATTCCTTAGACACTGACTGAACATCTGTAAAGAGAATTGATACAGATGAAACATCAAAAGAACCCTTTGTACTTACGGTAGAAGACATATTCAGTGTAGCTTGACCAGATCTTGTCATCTGTATACTGGTTGACAAAAGATGCTGTCACTGAGGAGTTACAGGCCACCATGTGGAATCCACACTCTGATAACATATCAAAAGCCCTTTCCAGATGCTTGAATTTGAGATAAAATCTGGAGGTGTATCTTTCTGGGGCTCGGTCAGGGTCTCTGCTCTCATTCAAAGTTTCTCCAAAGACCTCTTTTGCCAAGGAAATCCTTCCACAAACCAAAATCCGGGGAACTCTCCGAAACTTGGCATCTGCCTGCCCCTCTCTGCCCATGGTGCAGGACCCCCTATAGCCCACAGTAATGAAGCCCCATTTGCGGTCCACAGGGAGCACTGAGGAAGGAGGGCAGATTCTCGTGTCGCTTCCTTGGGAGGCATCTTCGAAGTCACTGTGGCAAAATTCGTCTGGGCTTTGCTTGATATCATCAGGGGTCAGGAGTTTGACCAAGTCTGGGAGCTGGAAGTACTCCGCTTCCCTTTTCAGTCTTCCCCTTTCCGGAAAGTGATCAGGCAGGACCACCTGCCTGTCCCTGAGATAGTCCAGAATGTAACGGAACAAGAATCCATCTCTGTCGATGAAAAACCTTCCTTTGGAGTCCTTGGCTAGATCGTTAGCCGTGTCTCTCTTTGGGGAAAACATTTTCCACAGGAGGGAATGAGGGACGCTTATTAATGTGGAATGGCGGGTGAAATAAACTTGACCCCCGACATTCAGCTCCACGACCTCAGGGAAGGAGTTGGGAACTGCAGCCCCCTGTTCTCGAGGATAATAACGACTACAGTTTCCACTCAAAGCCATTGTCCCTTTCTTCTTGCTCTTCTCCTATTTTGATTTGAAGGTGCAATCCAGTGGAGTCACAGCCTTATCCTTTGCATCAACTTGCCAAACAGGGAGAAGGAAGCTAACTTGTTAAAAACGACCTTCTCTTACCCCAGTTTTTTTCCCCAAGAAGGCAAAATTCAGAAGAGTCCACAGGTGAAGTGATGCTGCAAAAGTAGTTTCAACCCTGGCTGGTGGTGAGCTATTACTTCACAGAATGTAATCAACTCATCTCCATCCGATCTGTCCCAAGCTCGGTAGGCAAGGCAGGCCAAGTCCCCAGTTACTCCGAGGTCTGTCTGAGGGAAAAGAGAGAAAATTATTTCCTCAAACCCAGCATGAGTCAGAAAAAGAGACACCACTGGAGAGAGGAGAGGGAGGGAGAGGGAGGGAGGGAGAGAGGGAGGGAAGTAGAGAGGGAGGGAGGGAGGGAGGGAGGGAGAGATTATTTTACATAAGCAGCCTAGGAACTACTGATTTCAGCCATTCTTCAACTAAATTGTAGCTTCTCTCAAGGTATTTTGTGTCTACATGTTTATCCATACGCCTGTCTCCAGCAATTAGTATCAAAAATATTTCTACTGGTATTTCTGCTTTAAGAAGGAATATAAGATTTTCAACTTTTAAAAGGGGATTTTTTTTTTTTTTCCTCCAAGCTGGTCTGGTAAAGCAATAAGTCACAGAACTTACCTTAGTGAGTGCTGGAAACCCAGCTCCTGTGAAGAGATACCCATTTGCAAAGCAAGCAGAATCCACAGCCAGAGTCTGGAGCTTGTCAAATCCCAAAGAGTTAAAGGACAGAGGTATCAATGAAAAGTGCCAGAGAGATGTGCTCTTAGAAAATAATTATATATATATATATATATATATATATATATATATATATATATATATATATATTTATATAAATGTATATTTGTATGTATGTATATAGGTATGTATTCACTCCCAGTGTCAAGTTGAAACAAGTCACAAAAAAAGTTAAAGCCTGATGAGAGGTGGTTGGGTCGAAGAAGCAAGGCAGAGAAAAAGACCCAACCAAAGCTTCTCCAGTAAAAAGGGGAAGGGAAAAAAAAAAAAAAAATCAAACCTTTAGAAAGAATCCTTAAAACAGAAGAGAGTTGGAAGAGGTACTGGGACTTAGAAGCTTTTCGGAAAGCCCAGCAGCAGGAAGAAAGACAGATGTGCCCTGCTGGGGTCCCAGGTAGCCACCCCACCTGCCGGCAAGGGCAGACGGACTCCCATGCTCGCAGGCCGGCGGGAGCCGCTGGGAGCCCGGCCGCCGCAGCGCAGAGGGGCCGCGGGGGGCTCGGGCTCGGGCTTCTCCGGCGGCCGGCGGAGCTGGGTGGTTCCACAGTTCCCAGCGCAGTTCGGGGGCTGTTGTTTCAGCGGCGCAGGCAAGATACCATCCAGGGAAATGACTATTACATCATCTTAAAGGAATACGGCTTGGAGAAAGCGGAGGCAGCTCCGAGTCACGTCGTCCTCGGTGACAGGTCGCCAGGACTGCACGGGGACGCCGCGCACCGGCCGTGACACGCGACTCCCCTGCTCCCGGCTCTGGGCGGGGACGCGGCGCCGCGCGGCCACTTCCCTCAGCGTCCTGCCCGCGAGTCTGTAGTTTGCCACGGCCTTCGCTTCGCCTCTTCTTCCTGCTTTTTACACCTCCACCGCCGCCACCATTCATTCCCCAGAAATAAGCCCCCACCCCGGCGGTGACAGGAACACAAGGGATTTTGCATTGGAAAAATGTACAAACAAACCCTAGGCACAGGCACTGAATTTCAGCTGAAGGGCAAATTTCCCGTCCACATAGGCTTATTTAAAAAAGGAAAAGAAGAAAGCACGCCGAAAGACCCCAATGTTCAAGCTACAAAGTGGCTCTTTCTTACAAGCAAAGGGCATTAAACCGTGTTCTCCTTCAGATGCCCTCTTCCCCGCCCCCTTCTTCTCCATCCCTGTGCCACCCCACCCCCAGCAAATGAATAAATAAATACAGTCTCTCTGGAATGAATGATACTCTTTCCAAAGAATACATGAGGTACTGGTACCCGCAGAAAGCCCACAGCTGACATCAGCAAGTCATTATCTCAGCTTACCTGCAAGAAATTGTTACCTGCAACCTTTTTCTGGGGCTGTGTCTTTACTGAGCCTCTCTTTGGACATGCCCCAACCCCCTCCCACCTCATCCCAAGAGGACTCTGGTGGAAGACACACCCGGCGAAGAGACATTTTACTCCTATCCCAGAGGGCTTCCTTAAGTGCATCATTAGAGTTTCAGGAAGGCATTTCCAGGGCAACCTAATCCACTAACAAAGTGCTTCCAGTTGATCCTGCCAGTCAATAATGGCCCAGCCAACAGCTTACAGTAAGTCGACCATTTCTCCTTTAAAATGCCAGTGTCTTAGGACTCACCCTCCTAATCAGAATATAGCATCTCATCTATGAATAATACATGGGAGGCACACTCCATCCCAAATAACTTCTATTTTTTTTAAAGCGAAAGCCAAAAACGGAGATGAAAGTATGAATTAGATACATTTTAAGGGATCATGTGTTTATTGCCAACTCTTGCCCCAAGAATTAGATTAAAGATAGACTCAGCAGCAGGATAAATTAATTTTTAGTTTAACAGTCTTTTCTTTCAATAAGTATCAGGTTACTGAACACATATGGAATATTAGCTAACACTCCAACACCTGATTATATTTGACTTTGTTTCTTTAACTAATGTATTAACCTGTTATGGCCTTAATCATTGGGATATTCAAACTGGACCAATCAAGGGAATATTTATTATTTGGTGCACTTATATCGCCATCTAGTGTCTATATGCTATCAGTGCAGATCTGTAACTGACCACTTACCCCCGCCAAAAGTTAGATTTCCTGCTTTAAAAGTTTGTTGTTGTTGTTGTTGTTGTTGTTTTTAAGATTTTATTTATTTATTTGACAGACAGAGATCACAAGCAGGTAGAGAGGCAGGCAGAGAGACAGAGAAGATGAAGCAGGCTCCCTTCCAAGCAGAGAGCCGGAGCAGGGTCCTCCATCCCAGGACCCTGAGATCATGATCCAAGCTGAAGGCAGAGGCTTAATCCACTGAGCCACCCAGGCGTCCCTGCTTTAAAAGTTTTTATGTTGGTTTAAGTATGACCAGACACACACTGTTCACCATGATGACAAAATAAATATTTAGTTGCCACAAAACAAAGGAAAAAAATGGAGATTTGAGTCCATGCCTAGTAAGTACTGGGCTTAGTTGTAGTTAGAAATATGCAAACATTTCATTTTATTTTTAACAGAATGGGCCAGTAAACCATAACAATAGCTTTGGAGGTTGGGTATTAAAATATTCTGGGGACAGGGGTGCCTGGGTGACTCATTCAGTTGGCATATGACTCTTGATCCCAGCTCAAGTCTTGATCTCAGGGTCATGAGATCTCCACACAGGGCATGGAGCCTCTACTTAAAATAAATTTTAAATATATATATATATATTTTTTTAATTTATTTATTCTGGGGACAGTTTGTCAGGAAAGTGAGGATTGGGAATAAGAAAATAAGAATAAGAAAAACCAAAGGAACTTGAGAAAATGGAAATTATCATCTCATCTTAGATATATATAAAATGAGGACCAGAGAGGGAAAGAAATTCCACAAGGTCACACAGCTGTGGAGTAGCAAGACGGGGTTTAGAGCACTGCCTACTCATTATGATCAATTTTTTGAACTGCTTATATTCTAGAATAGGAATGGCGAGGAGGCAAATAAAAAAAAAAATTCAAACTACGCATTTGAAGAAAACCCAGCAATTCATTTTAAAGAGTTTTCAATATTAAGTTAAATTCAAGTCTAGAAGATTTTATAATTTAATTGAGAGGATTCTGAATTTCAAAAATGAGGAGTTCTATCTCTTTATTGGTCGGGGTTTCAAAGGTTAGGCTACCTTTTTTTTTTTTTTAAGATTTATTTATTTATTTTATAGAGAGAAAGAGAGCTTTCCTGCATGAAGGAGAGTTGGGGAAGGGCATAGGGAGAGAATCTTCAAGCAGACTCCCCACTGAGCCACTGAACCTGAAGCCTAGAGCCCAAGGTAGGAGCCCCATCTCAAGACCCTGAGATCATGACCTTGCTTAAATCAAGAGTCAGGTGCTTAACCTACTGAGTCACTCAGGCGCCCCATGTGCGTATTTACCTTTTAATGTACCCGGAGCCTCCGAAATCAAGACTGCATGGGCCTCCGTCTCACCTTTTGAGAAGTCAGGGGTTTGGTTGCAGATTGGCTCGAAGCCTTTTCTAGCTGGGGTCTACTGGCCTGGGTAACCATCCTCTGATGCATACATTTTCTTGTTCCTTTAGTCTAGGGGATGCAAACAAATAAGAAGTGAGATTAAAGAGGTAACAGGCTCAAAGGAAACAAAGCAATCCACCATAGAGAGAGATTTAAATAGTGCTAGAGTAAGCGCATGTGTCTCAGTCTCAGGGAGGTTGTCAGTAAGCCCAGCTGCTTGGTGCCTTAACAAGAGGCAAGAAGCCAATTCTAGGCTGTAAGTGTATTCCTGTCCTCTGTGTCAGCAGATAACACAGCTAGTGCTATTATTCTGTTCTGGCAGCTCTCCGCTGAAACATTGTGGGATCCTCCACTCGGCCCAAAGGCTGAACATACAGCAACAGATTTCTCTTAGGGGAAGAGAAAGGGAGAATGTTTCATCCGTAATAGTCAAGACTATAGCACATTTGGATACACCATGGGTAGATTATGGAGTTGATAAAATGTGTCTTAGCCTCTGTTTCCTGTTCCCTACTTGCACACACCCCCGTAGCTGAATGATGAAGAGTATATTCTCAAAAGGACAATTATAAATTTGGAATAATGTGTTCACTTTGCACATCCTTACCTCCTAACACATCCTTAAGTTTCCTCCCCCCTGGAGCAGAGATAGCTTTTATGCTGACTGTCTTTGTTATCAGGGAGGGAATGATCTCATAAATGTAGACTAAAATGCCATACATTCATTGTGTCGCATGCCCCAAGGTCTCCTGCATCCTCACTGTCATCCTAACACAGGTACTGTTTGTGGAGGGCCAGCCCTCAAGAACTCACAACAGTCACCATCCCTCTTCCATCTCTGCCTGATGGCTGTGTGACATGAGAGGAGGGGCTCAACGTCTCTGAGCCAGGGTCAAATGAAGATAACAGGAAGACCTGCCTCCCAGGCGTGTTGTGCAGATTCAATACCATGATGCATGTAAGATCCTGAGCATATTGTCTGGCCCTAGGTATGTGCTTGCAAAATGCCAGCAGTCTCCATGACGGCTATGGAAGTAACTGCGTTTGTCATTGGTAGACTGAAGCGGAGGCATAAAGAAGTTACAGAAGATGCCCAAAGACTGAAATTCAGTTCTACTTCCAAAATCTTCACTCTCCTCACTCTGCAGGTGTAGGTGAAGATCATTGCTTGTTATAAGCATATGTATTAATAATGTGAGGATTTCAAGATTTGCTGGAGGCGATGAGGTGGCAGAATGGGAACTGAAAATAGCACCACAGTGGTTAGAAAAGAAAATGCCACTGTCTTTCGTCCTACAAGGTTCCCTTCTCGGGACCCTTTCATTCACGCCACATGGATTTATTGAGTGCCTCTGTGTGTCCAGCACAGTTCCAAGTACTTAAGCTACAAAGCTGAATTCGATACAGTCTCTGAACACAAACACATACAAACACACACACACAAAATCGTCCCCATGGAAGGCAAAGATGAAAAAGTTCTAGATTCGTGAGCGGACAGGTGCCGGCAGCTGTTTTCAGCTTTGGGTCCTACGCAGTCCACGTATGTTTTGAACAGACCACTTAACCTCAGGGTGGCCTCTGCTTCCATATCTATAAAATGAACCTGTCTCCCTTTATAGAGTTACTGTGACTGATGGCAAAATAAAGATAAAATAGAGCTGCCAAATTGTCAGAGACCTACCAGGCAGTAATTTGCTATATAAGAGACAGAGCAAGAAGGCAGCAAACAGTGATCTTGTTAACATAACGCCTTGCAAGAGAGAATTTGGATTAGGTCTGCATAATCTTCAAGGGGAAGGGGAGACCCTTTGTGGTTACCCACTGTTGCCTCAAATCCTCCTCCAAGTTTTACATAACAGCAAATGTTCAATCTAGACATTTCTCTTGGTCTCTCCTGAAAATATTCTTGAACTATACTCTCATAAAATACGTGTAATAGCTAAAGATGTTCATACCAGCATGATGCCTCTGAATGGAAGTATGTAAAGTTCTTCCAAGGGAACCATCATTTTAAGATCTGAGCTTTAAAAGAAGTTTATGCTGATCTGAACAGAAAGTAGTGCTATTCGAGTATGAAGTGGTGTTATTGACTGTATTAGCAGGGGCTTAAGGTTTTTGATGTGAGCATGTGACAGTGGAAAGAGGGTACACATTTCTGTAATAGGTGTGGGTGCATGGTCACCTTTTAGGTTTCCCTTCAAAACAGAATTATTTTTATTTTATTTGTTTGTTTGTTTGTTTGTTTGTTTTTAGAGAGGTGAGGAGAGGGGCAGCAGGAAAAGGAGAGAGAGATAATCATAACAC